GAGAGTAGGTTTGTGTCCCCTTCAGATCCATCTGTGTTCTGCATCCTCTAAGGGCTTGGCAAACTTATGTGGTGTGATCTGCAAACGGTCAGAGGCAGGAATTGTATTCTCCCAACAATTTGAAGGGGAAAGACCTTGAACTGTTAGGAAGTGCAGACAGGGATCAGTCTTAAGCCATTGTGGAAAGTTCAATGCTAACTTTATCCTTCGTTCCTACTGAGCAGCACATGACTCATTGCAAAGATGGCTTCTTTGCAGGGGGAGGGAAGGATGTTCTTATGGGATCTCCTGTTTCTCTGCATGGTCAAAACACCCTTTGATGGGAAAGGAGAAAGCAAGAAAAAGATCCTCCTGTCAGACAGGTGTGGAGTAGCCTCTGCTCAGGACATACCATGTGTTTTCCTGAATTTAGGCAGCAGTGACTGAGTAAATGGTGGAAGCTTGCCATAAGCAAGGGCAGTTAGTGGTCAGAACACAGGGACTTTTGTGTGTTGTGTTGATGACAGACATAATTGGGAAAGCCACAACCAGATGTTGGTTGGATTCGGTAGGATGAGTTGACTTTACCTTCACTGTTGTTTTAAAACTAGTTGAGGAAAAGATTCAATTACATGGGAGATTTCTTTTCTCAGAAGCACTTCAGGCATGTAGGAGCATCAGCTGTGCTGGAAGCAGGCAGAACTTGCACTCAGTATCTTTACTATAACCTCCTCGTAGAGTTTCACTCTGAAAAAAGGTGATCATGGTCATCTGAAAAGACAATAGGAAACTGGGTGCTTGATGGGAACCTTTGGGTACGTGTGGGCTTGTGCAGGACATTGTGCATGCGTGCTGAGCAATGGGGCAGATCAGGTGCTTCCCCTGCTGTTGCATATAACTCTGCTTTTAACTTTAAATGATTTAAAGCAAAAAAATAAAAACCAAACTGCATTCAGCTCCAGAGCCCCCAGCACAGTAAAGACATGGATCTGCTGGAGTAAGGCCAAAGGTGGGCCACAAAGATGCTCAGAGGGATGGAGCACTATGAAGATAAGCTGAGAGAGCTGGGACTGTGCAGCCTGGAGAACAGAAGGCTCCAGGGAGTCCTTATAGCACCTTTCAGTACCTAAAGGGGGCCTACAACAGAGTTGGAAAGGGACTTTTTACAAGGACATGGAGCGATAGGACAAGAAGGAATGGCTTCAAACTGACAGAGGGTAGATTGTGATCCCAGTATGTCTAAAATAAAATCACTTTGTAAAACTAATATAAATTACAGTAAGAAGTAATTCATTACAGTAATTTAAGAAACATTAGGTTAGGAAACAAATGGAATCAACATTTCTAATACATTCTGGTTTAGCTTTATTCCTTCAGGAATAATACCATATGTGTGTATTTGGTGAGTGTCTTTCAGGCAGTTGGAGGAAGGAGGGGAGAATAGTCAGGGAAACAGTACTGTTGTTCCTCTGTTTTCAGGAGATATTTTGGGCATTCATTAATCTATATCCATCTAGATCTCTGGCTGCACTACTGTTCCCCAGTCCTTCTGAATTTCTTCAGCACTCCTGTGTTTCAAAGAGTGAGGGAAGTTAAACACAGTACTGCAGATGAAGTGCCCCCTCTTACATTCTGTCCTGCATTGTGGCTGATGAAGTCTGGGGATGACCCTGCACAGCCCCTGTTAGCTGTAAGAAGAAGAGCTGCTGGCAAGGCCTGGAAAGCATACTTTGTCTGGGACCAGGGCAGGTAAAACAATTCCCTTGGCTCCTTCTTCATACACAAATGATTCTTAAAAGTTATGAAGCCACAGCTGGGTTGCTGATTTTTAAAACTAGCAACTTCGAAACAGAAACTTCTTTTGCTTTTAAATGCGGAAGCTCTGTTTTATAGGGGTGGGGTGGCTGCAGCTGTTGGAATGGGTACATTTCTCTTTCCAGATTTTTTCTGTTATGGTAGTGTCTATCTAGCTTCAGGCTGATTCAGCAAGATTTAGTATGAAAATAGCCCTATGGAAATAGTTATGTAAAAACTAAGCGTCAGCTTGGAACTGTGTGTTTTCTGAAGTCAGCCAATTTCTAAAAATGTTTAGGAGAGTACGTTTTGGGGGGGGGGGGGGAGAAAGAGTATTTGGTTCTGAGGCTGTGGTTTAAGAGCTACTGGCACATATATGGGACTGCATGCCATTTTACCATCGCCCTGAAAAATAGTGAGAGTAATTCTAGCTGCAATGTTTATTCGTATTTTTTAGCAGTTTGGAGGTTTGTAACATTACTGGCATTTGCCCTAATGGTTCTGTTTGAGCTACACTTCCAAAGAAATGTATTTGTCTAGCATGTGAGATATTATGCAATAGTAAAGAAAAATATGCTCTCAGTGTTTTGTGGCTGATCATCTGTTTTCAGCTTCACTTGCCTTTATTCTGAGTTGCCTGAGGCAAGATACACGCAGCCTGAATTAACTGAAGCAGACTTTGAAGTCTTGAGAATTTCTGTGATCATTTTGAAAGGTTTTGTGAGCTATTGAAACTATTTGGAAAAAGAACGACACTTGTTTCGTAATTAAACACGTACTCGTCAGTCACTGTGTCTGGAAGCTCCCTTTGCGTAATCGCTTTAGGAATTCACGAATCTACCCTTGTTTGAGGAGGCAAGGGTGGGGTGAAGTCTTCCTTAAAATAAAATTAAAAATAAGTAAATAAATAAGACCTGGATAGCCTAAGTTTACTCTGTACCCTGGTTAAGAGACTATATGCAACTTATTGCTGTTAGCTTAGCAAAGCAGAATGGGGCTGCTAGCAAAATCCCATGTCCTACAGCTGCCTCATACCAGGAGAGATGTCAGCGTGGACTTAATCATGCTTAGCCCAATGCTTGCATGATTAAGTCCAGGAGCTTGCAGACATGTGCCTGCTGGTGGCCTGCTGGCTGGTGCTGCACTGTGCTTGCTCTGTGCAAAGGCTCCCAGGATGTTGCTGAGTATTTCTAACAATCCAGGGGCAAAGAAGTGATGTTTGTTTTCCTCCTCCTGGTTGCACTGGCCACTGGCAACTTTGCTAGAAACTGTAGCGATTTCTCCTGCAGATGTTAACTGTTTCTCTCCAAAGTGGTCTCTGCACCCCTTGATGCTCTCTGATCCCATGTGCTTCCTCTGGTCTCTGCATGCAGGAAGCAAATAAATGTATTTTGCCTTCCCAGCACATCCTTTTTCTTTTCCCTAGCTGTGATCAATATACCACTTAGGCAAAGAGTCTGTTTGTCTCCCTACGCTCTTTGGGAATGGAGCGATGAGAGTTCCTGTAGTAACATTGTGTTCCCTGCCCTGCCGAGTCTGCAGTTCACAAGAGGCTCTTTCTTTCCAGAAGAGACTGATCTTGAAACACAGGAATTAACAATGAGTCAGCATTTATTTGAATTAAATAAATCACATTTAAAGCGAAAATGCTGAAACCTGGGGTTTCTACATCCAGCAGGGGCGAGAAAACAACCTGAGCCTGTGAAGGAACTGAAGAGAGACAAGGGGGTGGCTGTCGCTCCATAACCTCCAGTACTGCAGGGCTCCACACTCAGGCTCTTCTGTAGAACCACAGAAAGAGTGAACACAGTATTAGTTACTGGGTTTCTGTACTGAGGCTTAAATCAGACTTTTTATGAATAAGCAAATTTTTAAAAAATCCAAGTACTCTCAGCTAAGGGACTGTTAGTGTTTCATTAGGGATTTTTTTTACAGCAGCAGCAGTGGAGCTTTACTCTACCTTCATTTAGGCAGTAGGTTCTGCATCATGGCTTAAAGTCCAGCCTAGAAAAACAATATTGGCTTCCTTTGGTCTTTGCTAGATGTTTTTCTGTGGTAATGGGAATTCACTTTATTTTATGCTCTAATGGACAGGGAGGGAATTTCTGTTTCTCCACCAAGACCATGCCGTGTAACGAGAGACGCAGAATAGCTTTCATCCTTGAAGACAGAACGTGTTTGCTTTGAATCTGAGAGTAGACTAATTGCACATAGAGTTTGCAGGCAATTCGTAGGATCTATTGATCAGCCAACTGAAATATTGATGAGTGCCAGCTGCATGTGTTTTTGTTGCTGTCTAATGGAAGCATTTGAAGACTCATGTTCATCACCTTGAAAGTGTGTTCGCCCTGTCATACCCAAAACACAGGGCACTAAGGTTTTGTGCAAAGGATCTCTGAACACTGGGAAAAGAGAGATGGTGTTTCAAGCTCTAATCTAGTTGCAGTTTACATGTTGAAACTCACATGTTTTCTGCAGTGATATTTAACTGTGGTACCTTCATCTAAAGATGGGCTTCTGCCTTCCTATGCATTTGCGCCACCATTTTTCATTTTTCAGAAATTCCAGAACTTGTTTCCCCTTTGCTTTTTATGTACCACTACTTTGCATCTGTGTGGTCCTTGGGTCTGTCTTCCTTTGCCCAGCTCACACAGCTTTCTACACCAGCATTGGGACAGGTGTTTGCCACCTTCCTGGTCAAATCCAGTGCCCCTCTTTCAGTGGTGATAATAGCCTTTCAGTTCCCTGTGCTTCAGTGTGTAATATACTTCACAGTTCATGTTTAATAGTTTTTTATCATTCTTTTGGTTCTGAAGATATTCCGGATTAATTTAAAACAAATCTACTTGAGCCAAATCCCCTCCCTGAAATTACAGGCATCTCATTCTGTTTTCGTTGCCCTGACAACCACAGACAGGTTGCACAGACAGGTAAGATGTATCACCTGCAGGAGAGCCTTACCCCCTTAGAATGGCATCTGGAGGGTAGACAGGCTGTCATGTGTTTGTAGTACCCCTTCAGGTGTCTCAGGTTTGGACAAATGAGTGTCCTTTATACTGTACTGAAGTCACAAGCTCTGTGGCATTTTCAATATCTTGATTTGAGGAGTACATTTATTGCATGAGTATCTTAGTTTTACACATTCAAATAGAAACAGCTGAGACTTGTTCAGAATCACAGTAATTTGATTGTGCAACATATTTCCTCATTTTATCCTCTGTCCACAGGTCCAGCAAGAACAAAGGAACCACACTGCAGAACCTGTAATAGATGACTATAAAAAGATGGGGACTCTCTTCGGCGAACTAAACAAAAGCCTTATCAGAATAGGCTTCACAAGGATGTACTTTGGAGAACGGATAGTAGAACCTGTAATAATTATATTCTTCTGGGTTATGCTCTGGTTTCTTGGCCTACAAGCTCTTGGACTGGTTGCTGTTCTGTGCCTTGTCATTATTTATGTACAACAGTAAAATTTTATTGATGCTGTTCAGATTACGTATTTCAATACTGTCACTATGTCAGTGGAACTATGAGTTTAAATGGGTGGCATATCAAAAGCTGCAATGCTTCAAATTGCTGAACTTCCAACGTTTGGTGTGAAGGAGACTAAAATTACACATTTTAAGCCAAATCAGCAGTGCTCTACTGTGTCTCTGAGGGAAGAAAAAAGACGATGTTTGTAATATAATGGTGTCTAATATACTGGGTTTTGGCCTTATCCCAAGGGCTGACATTTTGTTGTCCCCTCCCCTCTCTTCATGTTCTTGCTTTGTATAGCGAAAATTTCCTGTCTGGTTTTAAGAGGACAATTGATGTGAGTGTCCTGTTTCACTGTCGGGAGGCCTCGTGTGCTGTTTGTTCCCCAAATCTGCATAATTTGTTCATGTTTTGCTGAAAAGCTAAATCTGCACAAGGGACATTCAGCAACAAACCTACAATGACAAATGTTCGTAAAATGAATACAACTTCCCAACACAAAAGCATCTTAAATTAGTATATAGTAAGCTTTCCCCCAGGAAACAAGCTATACCAGCAAAATGCTCTTGTACTAATATTAGCGACTTAACACAAGGCTTCAGCTGTTGTTTTGGAGAAATTGCAGTCCTCCATTGGCCAAATGTCTAATGTAGCTCTGCCTTGTTTTTGGAAATGTACTCAGCTCCTGCTGCTGTTTTTCTTTCTTTATTTTTTATACTTGCTCTTTCCCCCAGCCCTCCTTTTGAAGATAAATATTTGGATAATTCATGGAGTTTGTAGGTAGTTACAGCTGCAGTGTTGGAGAGTTGCCATTCCAGATGGCAATGCTAGAATGTTTTCTGCTTCCTCTGGGTTGTGTGTGAAGTGTCTGAGAAACCAGATATCTCTTAACGCTTCCCTAGTTTGCAGCAATGTGGACCTACATGAGCTAAAGCTTTGTTCACGTAAGCAAACCAGACCTGTTTCCTCATGTGAGGCAAGAATGCAGTTGAAACCAGGTGGTTATTTTATTTAGTAATCTTAACTGATTCATTTCCACACTAGGCAAAAAAAAAAAAGTCTATCTATAGGTATATGTCAGGGGCCACATCAGCTGGAGAATAGGATGTATACATTCAAGAATAGGTGCAAAATTCAGTCTGGCTCCCCAGTGGCCACACCAGGAGTCTAGTGAATATTTCCAAGTTAAGTGTGCTCATTTGGTGCAAAGCAGTAAAATGAGACAGAATATTTACTACTTCTATGTTGCTACTACTACTAAATAGGCTGCCAGTTTAATATTTGCTGTACATTACTTTTAGCAAGAAACTTAATCACAAAATTGACTTTATCTATGGTAGAGTAAAATTATACAATTTACTTGAACAAATGAAATAGGAGCTGTGAAATTTACAGAAAATAACTTAATCTTTTGCAGTGACTTTTTTCCTAAATGTTTTTGTATTAGCAGAGATCAACAACAGATCAGATGAAAATGCTGTCTTATTCAGAGACTTTTGAATTTAAGGGAAGCTTCTCTATGGTCCCAGTGTGCAACTGGATTCTAAAGGCAGAGTTTATGCCTACATGGATCATGTTGGCTGCCAGGGCCCTAGTCCTTACAGACTTTCCTGATAGGGAAATAAGTGTTATTACGACAATGAACATGAAAGCTCAGCTCCTTTTAAAGTCTATTTGTACAAAAATGCCATCTGTAGACATGTCTTTTCTAATGCACGTGCAGCTACCTTCTGAGGAGCCAGCTCACCTCTCCAGATCTTCAGATGACCTTGACTGTGGATCCAAGAGACTCTGCTGGACTGCCAGGACTGCAAGGAAGTGGGACTGAGGCCCAGCTGTGTGGTTAGATGGCAGTCTGGATTGGCTGACACCTGGTTAAATAGATATGCTTATGGCAGGGAAACACTGGACAACAGAAGGTGTTCCTGAATACAGAGGTTTGGTGTTTGCAGCTGGAAGTCCCAAAGCAAACATCAAATGCAGGCTGAACTCAGAGGCAGAAGCTCTGTACTCAGAAGTGCCTGGGGGTAAACTTTGGGTTTGTTTCACATCCCCTAGAAGCAGAACATCTGTTTACACCTTTGCATATTTGTATAGATTGAATGGTGGGTTTATGTGTATTCTTCTCCTGTATAAGGGCTGTACTACGAAAGCATCCTGTCGTTAAAAAAAATAATCCTTTCGTTCTTCCCACAATCCAGTTAGTGTTCAGAGCATCTCATCCAATTCCTTTAATCCTGTAGGAAAAAGTGTCCCTGTGATATCCTTGCGCAGTAGTACTCTTGTGTAAAGATGCTGTGGTGTGAGATGGCATGTCGTATTTCCTTGAAGTGGTGATTTTGCTCTGTACATAAGGAATGGGGAACAGTGAATTATGGGTGTGACTCATGCTTGTAACCCTTTAGTAATATGCTTGTAACCTTTTAGTATGTTCATAACTGTGAGCGTTGCACACATGAAGTCATTTCAGTTACTCTTTCCATGTTTGTATACATGTACTCCTAGGGAAAGGTAGCTTTTGGTCCAAGATTGTGTCCAGTGAATGTTTTATGTGGTTTCTCCTAAGGGTAACTTTGCGATGTCTTGTCCTTCATAGAAGTCTTTAATTTTTGAAAGCCTGAAAAAATAGCCCTCCTTAATGGTGTTAGGTTGACTGAAAATGGAAAAAGAAAAATAATATATTGCATGGAAGATAGCCCTTGCCTGTTTGGTTTCATACATTCCCTCATATATAAGAATTTGCACTGTATCATCTGTCCTAATTTTGTGCTATGACTATACTGTCTCCCTCTTGTTTGCAGGAAAGGAAAGAGGAGTTAAAGGAAAAGGGGGACTGGGCTAGAATCAGACATAAAGGGCAGAAAATGGAATGTAGTGAAATGATGTATATATGTGTCCAAAGAAATCTGATGATAAACATGTGCCAAGAGTGAAGGGGAAATGGGTCCTTGCATTGTGTTCTTCATTCCATCCAGATGTAGTTGCAAGGCAGAGGTAGCACCAAGCATTCAAAGGCTGTCCCTAGCTAAAAAGCAGAAGGCTAATTAAAACATAACAAAACAAAAAAGACAATTTCACTGTTGTCTATATAGTAAAAATTAATAATGTTATTTATATTGTTATGTATTGTTATTGATAGAACTGAAAGCACCTTTATGCATCTGTCTGTAGGACGGTGTGAAGGAATTGTCACTTAAATCTGTGTTAAACAGCAAACAATGTAATTCCCGTTGGTCAGGGTGACATTGAAAGCTTTTTATATAACCTCTGATTTTTAAAGGATGGACTTTTCAGTACTATTTGACACCTGCCAAATGCATAAATGCTTGAACTACTGTGTACAGAGAAGAAACTCTACATGCAGGAGAATCTTGGGCAATGCCGTTTGCACTGAAAAATCATCACATCAAAACTGTCCATATAAAAAGGAAAAATTGTCTTTCTTAAAAACTCTGTATAAATTGAATCCTATGGAAAGCACTTTGTCACTCTTTCTAATAAAAAGTATTGCCATCAATGAGATCTGTGAATTCTTTGTGGTGCTTTGTTCAAGGTTACTTGGCTCCTTTCAAAGTTTAATGGTAGGCCCAGATGAAGTGGGACAGTGTTCAGATATCCACTGAAATCAGTTAATAAGACCAAAAGTTGAATTTTGGTCCTTCAAAGTGCCATTGGTGGAAGTGCACAAAAGAAGTAAGGCTTGTACCTGCATAAATTCAAGCCTTCAGGCTTTATTTTGGGTAAAGTTATCTTTTTCAGGCCTTTTATAGCATGCATGCGAATTCAAAAACAACCTGGCTTTGACTCTGATTCTTTCCATGATGGGCTTTACGTCGTGGTAAGTTTATTTCTTAGCCTCTCCCCTCTGCCAGAACTGACAGCTTCATCCCCTTTGTATGTTTCTCCTTTCTCTCCGTAGGGTTGCCTTCTCTAGGGCTGTTCACTTTGAACCATCTCTCTGTGCCAAGAGTTCAGGCTTTTTCATCATTCTGTCTTAAAAGCCTCATAGACAGAAAATCTATTTTCAGATGGGTATTTTGTTTTTTTTACTGCATGCCTGCTTAAGACTAGAAGGGAGGAAATGAGAGAGGGTTTAAAAAAATATGTATATGCTGCATAGCCATTTCTAACAGTGCTTAGTTGCTGGTTTAGATGTCACTTACCAAATTGCAATTTGCAGTCACCAGAGGTCCAAGAGAGTGTTGCAAACATGTAGGGTAAGGAACTGTTGGCAGGTTGGCACCTGGATTTTGAGAATAGGTGGGCCAAGCAGCATGTGATATAGGGTTCTTTCAAGCTTGTACAGGTAGGTAGACTTCTAACTTCCTGTAACTCCTGCCAACACCTAAGTTTCTCCCAAGAGTGTCTCCAAATGCATATATAATCCTCAGCATGCCTTCTACACTCACACTGAAGAAAATGGGCACTCATATTTCTGGTATACAGAGAAGAACCAAAAAGGATGAGATAGGAATGGGGGACTAGATGTACAATAGTGTTTTTTAACTTGTGTGCAAGCTTGTGGCCTTTTCAAATTATAGTCCTGTATTATCCAGATAAGGTTTGTGCGTCTTGTATGCAGTTGTCACAAGTCTTTATACCCCTCCAGCCTATATATATATTTTTTCCAATTAATATGTAAGTGAAGCAACTGTGATAATATATGCTTTCCCCCAAACGATTCATTGAAAACTACACCTCCCCTTCCCCCCTCCAAGTGGCAGGAGGGATGTGACTGGATAAAACCCTCCTGATGACAGGAACTGCTCCTGGTGCAGCCTCAGGGGAACCATGGCCTTCCCAGGGTACAGCAGGCTACTAGAGTGCTGGGGAAACATCTTGTCCAGACCTTCCCAGGGTACAGCAGGCTACTATAGAGTGCTGGGGAAACATCTTGTCCAGCCCCAGGCACTGCTGAAATACCTGGAGTCCAAGTGGCATGGAGGGGGAAGGACTGTTATACCAAGGTCCAAGAGCTTTGATCAGAGTTTAA